CTCATTATATGACAAATGTGAATTAAACTCGCATATAATAGAGTTGAACTAAGTTGGATTAACCCAGATTTGCTGTGAAAATTTTGAATGATACTAAGTACATATCAGTTAGATTAACAGAGAGACCGAGGTTGATAACCTCGGCCAGCCTCTGTTTGAATCTGATCCCGGCGATAAGATCATAGGTACATGCTTAATGTGAACATAAGTGAAACTTAAGTTCACATTAGGGAACCGAGAGCTGGAGAATGAAAGTCTAAAAGCCTGGGAGGCTAGTCTAAACATTTCACAAGCTGGAGTTGGCTTAAACACTTGTTGAAATTTCAGAAAAATTTACAAGTAAAAGATACGTCGAGGAAATATTACAAAGAAGTACATTCTTGGTTGCCGAGATGACCAGATTACCAAGCTTTGAGATAATTGAAGACAAAAGTCTTGATAATTGAAAGTGAAGTGGCAAGTTTTAGATAAACACTTGTGAAAACTTTCTTACAATGTTTTGTAAGTGTCAAGGCAAGGTCGAAGTAAACATTCAACAGGTATACCCAAAGTATTTCTAGCCCGAGGAAATTGCACAGTTAACGTGTACTTTGAAGACATGCAAACTATTCTAAGTATGGAATCATACAAGACAGTAAAGAAGATAAACATACAAACATTTTGAAAGGAGGAGTTATACTTGCATTCAAAAGAAGTAAAAAGGGCACTTCTGCCTACAAGAGGGATTACTTGTTCAGATTACAAAAGGGCACATCGGCCAAATACAAAGCTAACATTGTTGAAAGACAAAGTATTACAGCAAAGAAGGAAAAACAAAAATATCCTAAGTATTAGGATTGGCTTCATCAGCTAGGGGTGTTACATTTTTGTCGGCTTCAATCTCAACATCTATCTCTTGTAAAGTCTTATCCAGACTCTTATCAGTGCACTGGACCTTGGCCTCGGAAATGGTTGGTTTGGGGGAGACGCCCTTGGAGGCCAAGTCATCCTCCTCATCCTAAGTTAAATCAATTTGGTCATTGAGGGTGGGAGACTTGGCATTAGCAGCAACCTCCTCCTCCACTTCGCCGGCTTCATTGTCTTCGGTATCCTCCTCGGTCTTTGGAGGGAAAGGCACCTCGAGCTGGTTGATGTCTCGAAGGTCAGAGTCCATAGGAACAACCAATTTGTTGAGGGCTGCCGTCCAACCAAGGTAATAACCTCGATTACAAGCCAAGTTGACTTATTGCTTGTATTGGTCACGGACGGCGGCCTGTCTCTCTTCAAAGGGCTTTTCGTCGGCCGCCTTCACCTCAGCCTTTTTATTAGCAAGAGCCTCCTGAAGCTTGGCCTCCATATGAACCACTTTTGTATTGGCAGCTTTAAGGTTGGCCCTTGCAGCCTCAGCTTCATTCTTTGCCTTATTGGCCTTTTCCTCAGCCAGACTTTAAGTAGTCTTGGCGTCCTTGGCCTGGTCCATAAAGGTGAGGTTGCTGGCCTCGGCTTTGTTAAGGGAGGATAGGAGTTTGGCTGCTTCTTTTTTCTACTATGCCAAGTCCTTCCTTATCATCTCAGTTTTTGTGGCGTAGGAGTGAGTGCGCTGGATGGCTCGCAAAGAAGTAGCACAAGTTAGCAAAATTTCACTAAGTATGGAAAGATTGTTAAAGTGGAAAAGAGAATACTTACCAAAACCGAATGCTGCATCATGAAGGCAAAGTCTTCATATTCATGAAGTTCGGCCATACGGTTCATGTCCTCAGCCAGAAGAACTGCTGTGGACAAGGCCGCCCAGACCTCAAGGTTCGCAGCACTGTCATCGGTGGTAAGGGGTCTATCGTCGAGCATGATCTCGAGTGCCCAAACCATGCCTCGAGGGTAGCTGCTACCCTCTTGGTGGCCAGAGCTCGATTTTTTAGCAGGTGGAGCCTTGGAAACTGGGTCCTTTGCGGGACGCTTTTCGGCGGAAGGGGTGTTTTTCTCGGCCTCGGCTAACTTAGAGATGGGCATAGTGTCCGCAGAATCGATCTGAGTCACTATGGCCTTTGCTTTGGCCTTCTTCATGCGTTTTGGCTTTGGGGTTGGTTGAGGGGAAGATGAAGACTGGACGGTAACAACGTCAGGGATGTTGGCAAACAGATCTTCAACTACTACAAGTTTGCGCCCCATCTCATCGGCAGTAGTAGCAACTATGACCCTTTTGTCGAAGTGAATTGCTGGTAAAGTTGTGGGTGGATTTGCTGGATCGTAAGCCGACGCCTCAACTACGTGTTCTACCAGCAGGAGTGTTGGCAGAAGCACGACGTCGGCGTCAGCGTCGGCGCTGGGCTGGTGGAATAAGTTGGGGTGCAGATGTCGATGGCTGTTCTGCTGGGTCAGAGGTAGAGCCTTGATCAGGTCTTGGCGATGAGGTAGTAGGAGGAGTTGTGGCGGAAGGTGGAGATTTTCTCTTCCGAGGGATGTCGGGCAGAGGACTCTGATATGTTGGAATGTAGTTGAGGAGGATTGGAGCCTTGCGAAGCTCTAGGGAAAGGCCGAGAAGACGGACCAAGTCTTGGCTGAGGGAGAGCTGCAAAAATGGAACATATGTTAGAAACAAAGTAGCAAGAATATGATGATTAAAAAAAGTAAGAGGGACTCTAGGGAGGGAAACTAAGTCCTTACCCATATCATCCCTAAAAACCCCGTGGCGTAATGAGAAGAGGCAGAGTTTGTCGTCTGTCGCAAACTCCCAATTACCCGACACAATCAGGTAGTCATCAGTTGCGTCTTTATTAGAGTCTGGGATGTCGGCTATCAGCTTGTATTGGGTTGATCTCGACTTGAGGTAGTATGTATAACCGGCTTTGGTTTTAAGGCTACACATCGTGTAGCAGTATTGAATATTAGTTAGGGAAATTCTAGCATTTTGCTGACGCTCTAACTCAACAATTCCGTTTATGATCCTAAAGGAGTTTACAGCTAGTTGCATGGGGTTTAGTTTGTAAAAGTGGAGGACCTCTCTGAAAAGGGTGTTAAGAGGGAATCTGATTCCTCCCTCAATAATAGAGACAACAAGAAAGGGCATATAGTTCTCCCCCGGCATGATGGAGTCATTCTCTCTAGCCAACCTTATTTGAACATCGGCTGGTATAGAAAACTCCTGCCTGAAGTACTCTAGCTTAGTAGGAGTATCTACTCTCCACCTAAACATTCCCATAATGTCGGCTAGAGGGACAAGGTGTTAGGTTTCAGAAGGAATTACTTTGTTAAGGTTTGAAGGACCTCGGCAAAACCTAAACGTATGCTGGGGCAAGAATTTTTGAGGATCTAAGGGGAGTTCGTTTAAGTTTTTCCTAGGAATTGGAGTTCTAAAACAAATCCCAAAACCTAAGACTATGCAAACAAGAATTGAAGGCAGAAATCTAGAAAATGCAGTAAGAATATAGAAAACAACAGTAATTCAGATTCAAGAAGACGAACAACAAATCAAAGAACACTGTGACAAAGTGTGTAAAAGGGTGCAAGGCCAAGATCAGTGGCAAAATAAACAAGTATGTGAGTAGTGTGTGTGTACTCAGGAAAAGATTGGGCAGAAGCAAAATCATGAAAAATATATGATAGAATTCAACGCACAAATTAATAATCAAGAACATGAACAGGTTGACAATGGCAGCAAATAATGTAGTGGAGTTTTTTAAGAAAAACACAGATTGATAAGAGGGGAAACAGTGACTTACCAAAAGGAGTGACGCCGGTGTGAGGTACGCCAGAGTTGAACGCTGGTGGTATGAGTGGCAGAACGTTGAAAGCCTCGCCGGAGGGGAAGAATGAAAGTAGTTGCAGAAAGCTTCACGAACAAAAATGGAGGATTTGGGAGAGAAATGTTAGAGAGAGAAAGCTTGAGCGAAAACGATGTTGCAAAGATGAGAAGACGGAGAGAGAGGGAAGTGTTTTTGTTAAAACATAAAAAGACGGCAAAGTTTCATTAAATGCGCCTAAGACGACGTGCCTGTCAGGCGGTGCATGTAGAAGCGATGTGACTTGATGGTGCATGTCAGGTAAAAACGGTTGAGTTACGGTGCGTGACAGCTCATACGCGTGTACAAACTCTTAGAGTTCTTGATTTAATGAAGTAAAGATCTCAGCTTAGGGGACGATCTCGGTTAAAGAACTTGAAAAACTTGGTTCTTGGTTCTAAAGGCATTTGAGAAACACACTATAGTCTTGGTCATATGGAGCCAACGTGTGACGACCTCGGTAATGAAGGATAGAGCAGGTCTTAGCCGACATGCTATGTGATCAAGTGATATAGGTTCCATCACCTTAGGATGCCGAGGTAATAGAACCTAGGGGGTAGTTGTGGGGGCATATTTTTATGAATGACAACACGTGGCCAAGGTGGCACCGAAGTGCCAGCCGAGGTGCCACATGTCCTGGTCATGATGCCGAGATGATCTCGGCTAGGCCGAGGTTATCTGCGGAGATGTCGGGATCCGGGATAAGCGAATAAGTTATAAAAGTCCTAGAGTGGGAGAGGACTTTATCCTGGATAAGGATAAAGCTCTTAGGGAGTTTATGTTTATCTAACTGGGAGTCCAAGATAGGCATTGAAGTAGAGTCCAAAAGAAGCTAGGCTTCTACAGGGATCAGGAGAGTGCTGACTATAAAAGTAAGGCAGCGTCATGGGTCTAAGGTACGTTTTTGGTATTCTGGCTAGTGAGTTAAGCACTAATTATTATCTTTGAGAGATAACTGAGTATTAACTTGATCGTTGGAGGGCCCTTGGGTGGAAGAACCACCGCCAGAGTCTTTTCTTTCTGTGATAGGTCGTTCGGGCGTAATCTATTCTGCCGGTGTTCTCCAGCTGAGTACCTGTTTGGCAGTGTGGTCAGAAAACAGCACACACAAGTGTGATTTTGTGAATTTGTTTTAAAATCAATGTTAAAACATTGTATGACACATATATTGAAGGTTTACCTGGTCCTTGCACTCTGGCGAATGGTGACTGTGGATTGTGTGAAGTAGACATAGAGAGCTAGCCTCTATCGCTTATGGATTATCGCTTTCCCAAGTATTTTATAAGCCGATACCAATGGAAAATCAAAATCTTCAATCCATTCCAGTGCCTGAATTGTGCCTCTCCAAGCAACCAATATATCTCTTCTTCCCAAGGCAACCTTTCCTTGATCAGTAGCCACAACTACATATCCTATCCAATTCCATTCCTTGCACCAAGCTTCCTTTGAGAATGGTTCCAACAGAAATTCTTCTGGAACATCAACAATTGATGTTGAATACAGATACTTTGTTGGTGTGTAATGATACGAGTTGCCAATTGCTAGACCAACTCTGGCAAATAGATTCTTCCTGGAATATCTGCCGCTTCCAACATACTCTGAAGTTTTCTCGGTATTGAAAATGTCATAAGTTGCCTGAGCCATTTCGCCATAGTGAATGATATAACAACGAAGATCAATGTCAAGAGGGTCCAAGAGGTTTTTCCAATTGTCCTGCCCACTCAGCACCCTCCAACGTCGCACTATGTTTTCTATCATTTCTCTCGATCAATCTAGCAGCCAAACAAGTTAGTTTAAGGATCCAAAACTTAATTTCTTACATTTCTTGACATCATCATCATCATCATGTAAACCAACACTTCAATTGAGGGTGGCTTGTAGTACCAGTAATATAATCTCATATGAGCTTTTAGGTCTAACCACCCCTACTGTCATGAATAACACACAATTACCAAGAGCACACATACATACGTATAGACAATTGACCAAAAACAGAGATGTACTCTCACAAACTAGTTTTTGCTTCCAAATTTGAGAAACTGCAATAACAACCTCCACTGCTATTGTGTATTAGCAACTGTCAACAATGGAAATGTGATCATAAATATCAATTCATGCCCCAACACTTTTTAAGCACTTCATTTAATTTCTTCAACTCAAATTGCATCTGTTTCCTTATCTGCCACACCATTTTCCTGGCTTCCTGGATCAATTTTCTACGCGCAAATCTTTTGGTGGCACTATCGTAAAAAAAGAAAGATGCTACATCCTCCTAATAAAGCCCCCTACTCCACCCGCTAAGATATATGTGAAATAGTTCCATACTCCTCTCTTTTTCATCTTTAACCCCCTTAGTTTTACATCATTAGGGGTAAAATTGAAGGAGTAAAATTAAAGAATGAATCATTTTTCGTTAAAAAATAAAATAATGCTACATTTATCATATTTATACATGTCAATACTATACCATATTAATGTAATGAATCTCACACTAATGTATATATCCAATGTAATGCTGACATTTAGACTTTACATTTTTAATGTAACGTTGTAACACAGTGCACTGATGGATTCCGTAATTCACGTGCTGATTTTTCTACGGCAATTGCAGATATATATAAACCATATGACATATATATTGCAAAGAAAGAGAGCATTACGAAAGGGAGTGTTCGTCCGATTAGACTATCCAAACACATTCAGGAAATAATTCAGTCAAGTCTAAAGTAGAACAGCACAGAAAATATTAATTGGATGTCTTGTGAATTTGAATAGAGAGCCGTCCTGATTCAGAATCAACGTGAATAGGGAATGCTGTACGATGCATTTACAGGAGGAGCTTTAACCAATTACTTCTTTTACCGGCTTCATCATGATTCAGTTAATTTAATTGTCAGTGCCAGTGCACGCTGTACGATGCATTTACAACAAGGGTTCGGACAGGGAAACTCACTATTCCGTAATGCTTTGTTTGAGGAAGGATGAAAGAAGAGGATGTGTACAGAGAATGTGAGGATATATTGAGAATGTGAATTGTGTGAACTGAGATAAAGAAACAAAAATCAAATTACTAACGTTGTGTTTGGTTGGGGAATTGGGGAAGGGATTTGGAAAGGGAAATGGAAAAGGTAGGTGAAATATGAATAAATCATGCCTATATTTCACATAGTTTCCTACACCTTTTCCCTTTCTCTTTCCAAATCCCTTCCCAAATCCCCAACCAAACACAGCATAAATGTCTGGATTGAGAAAAGATGCACACAGAGATAATTTGATGCGTGGAAATAGAATTTCCCCATTTAATTAGCAAGTAGGATTACACTATTTTGCCCAATTTCTGAGTATTAACTTGATCGTTGGAGGGCCCTTGGGTGGAAGAACCACCGCCAGAGTCTTTTCTTTCTGTGATAGGTCGTTCGGGCGTAATCTATTCTGCCGGTGTTCTCCAGCTGAGTACCTGTTTGGCAGTGTGGTCAGAAAACAGCACACGCAAGTGTGATTTTGTGAATTTGTTTTAAAATCAATGTTAAAACATTGTATGACACATATATTGAAGGTTTACCTGGTCCTTGCACTCTGGTGAATGGTGACTGTGGATTGTGTGAAGTAGACATAGAGAGCTAGCCTCTATCGCTTGTGGATTACCGCTTTCCCAAGAATTTTATAAGCCGACACCAATGGAAAATCAAAATCTTCAATCCATTCCAGTGCCTGAATTGTGCCTCTCCAAGCAACCAATATATCTCTTCTTCCCAAGGCAACCTTTCCTTGATCAGTAGCCACAACTACATATCCTATCCAATTCCATTCCTTGCACCAAGCTTCCTTTGAGAATGGTTCCAACAGAAATTCTTCTGGAACATCAACAATTGATGTTGAATACAGATACTTTGTTGGTGTGTAATGATACGAGTTGCCAATTGCTAGACCAACTCTGGCAAATAGATTCTTCCTGGAATATCTGCCGCTTCCAACATACTCTGAAGTTTTCTCGGTATTGAAAATGTCATAAGTTGCCTGAGCCATTTCGCCATAGTGAATGATATAACAACGAAGATCAATGTCAAGAGGGTCCAAGAGGTTTTTCCAATTGTCCTGCCCACTCAGCACCCTCCAACGTCGCGCTATGTTTTCTATCATTTCTCTCGATCAATCTAGCAGCCAAACAAGTTAGTTTAAGGATCCTAAACTTAATTTCTTACATTTCTTGACATCATCATCATCATGTAAACCAACACTTCGATTGAGGGTGGCTTGTAGTACCAGTAATATAATCTCATATGAGCTTTTAGGTCTAACCACCCCTACTATCATGAATAACACACAATTACCAAGAGCACACATACATACGTATAGACAATTGACCAAAAACAGAGATGTGCTCTCACAAACTAGTTTTTGCTTCCAAATTTGAGAAACTGCAATAACAACCTCCACTGCTGTTGTGTATTAGCAACTGTCAACAATGGAAATGTGATCATAAATATCAATTCATGCCCCAACACTTTTTAAGCACTTCATTTAATTTCTTCAACTCAAATTGCATCTGTTTCCTTATCTGCCACACCATTTTCCTGGCTTCCTGCATCAATTTTCTACGCGCAAATCTTTTGGTGGCACTATCGTAAAAAAAGAAAGATGCTACATCCTCCTAATAGAGCCCCCTACTCCACCCGCTAACATATATGTGAAATAGTTCCACACTCCTCTCTTTTTCATCTTTAACCCCCTTAATTTTACATCATTAGGGGTAAAATTGAAGGAGTAAAATTAAAGAATGAATCATTTTTCGTTAAAAAATAAAATAATACTACACTTATCATATTTATACATGTCAATACTATACCATATTAATGTAATGAATCTCACACTAATGTATATGTCCAATGTAATGCTGACATTTAGACTTTACATTTTTAATGTAACGTTGTAACACAGTGCACGGATGGATCCCGTAATTCACGTGCTGATTTTTCTATGGCAATTGCAGATATATAAAAAGCATATGACATACATATTGCAAAGAAAGAGAGCATTACGAAAGAGAGTGTTGGTCCGATTAGACTATCCAAACACATTCAGGAAATAATTCAGTCAAGTCTCCAGTAGAGCAGCACAGAAAATATTAATTGGATGTCTTGTGAATTTGAATAGAGAGCCGTCCTGATTCAGAGTCAACGTGAATAGGGAATGCTGTACGATGCATTTACAGGAGGAGCTTTAACCAATTACTTCTTTTACCGGCTTCATTATGATTCAGTTAATTTAATTGTCAGTGCCAGTGCACGCTGTACGATGCATTTATAGCAAGGGTTCGGACAGAGAAACTCACTATTCCGTAATGCTTTGTTTGAGGAATGATGAAAGAAGAGGATGTGTATAGAGAAGGTGAGGGTATATTGAGAATGTGAATTGTGTGAACTGAGATAAAGAAATAAAAATCAAATTACTAAATGTCTGGATTGAGAAAAGATGTATACAGAGATAATTTGATGTGTGGAAATAGAATTTCCCCATTTAATTAGCAAGTAGGATTACACTATTTTGCCCAATTTCTGCCATCCAAACAGGGGTGGAGGAATTGGAATTTTACCCTCTTTTAGAATAATTCTTTTGCCTTCACCTCTGTTCTCACATACCCAACCGCTCCTAGCTTTGCTTGCTTGACATGAGCTTGGTTCCCAATCATTTAACACAAATCCAAATCTAAATTTATTTAAAGTTTCCCACAACAAAGCTTAACATGTAACAAATCAAATTAAACACAACATTTCAGTAAGCAGAGCAGATAAAAACCATCTAACATTCCCACCCTGGAAACTTATTTGAATGTACAACTCACCAGTACTGGAACAACCAACCCTACCTTCAGAGACCACCCTGTCTGTGTTCTTCAGTTTCACATTCACCTGCCAACACTGCCTGCCTTACATTTTTACTGCTGCTGCTTTTTCTGCCCTTGCTCTCCGTGGTCCAACGGGCTGCCACCGTATCTTCCCTTGTGCTCCCCTCCTCCGGTTTGGTTGTCCTCACCATGACCAATAACAAGGTCTTTAGTCGTCAGTGCAATCTCAACTATAGTCTCTCCCACCGCTTGCAGTACCCCACCCCCATTTCCGCCTCCCTGTTTATTATCCCTTGTTTCATGCAGTGGCAGCAGTGCCCTACTTCCTTGCTGCTGTTGTTCCCTCCTATCTTGTTCCGGTGCTCCCTGGAATGAAAACTCCTGGACCGTTTCAGCAGGTTTCTTGATCACTTCTTTTGCCATACTCTTTGCTTCTTCAACACTGGTGCTATCTTCTTGCCCTCCACTTTCTCCCTTTCAAAAAATAAAAATAAATAAAATAAAAAAGTACTCCATCCATCAATCCATTAATAACAAAAACCCAAACTATAGGTCAATAAAAAGGTGAAAAAACTTGACAATTAAAATACTTGGAATTGAAATGTAAAAAGAAATAGTAGTACTATTCAAGACCAAAAATTAGATTCAATTTTCAAGTTGATGTGACAATCAATTAGGATATTAAAAGTAACATTCTTTCCCGTGTTTTTTCTAATCATCAACCAATTACATCACTCGCACATCATTTTTCAAAAAACAAATTATCATGTAGAACTGAACACAAAAAATCTAGGACGCAAAGCTTTTCCGATTTCACCGTAGTATTACTTTATGGTTGGGAAATTTCCAAGTCACACAACTAATAAAGTAAAACTACTATAAAATAGAAAAAGCTGCTTTTTTAAGTATGAAATTCCACCACATATAGGTTTGATTTCCAACTCGAGCTTGGTAGTGTATAAATTTTTTAATTTCCAAAGAAGTTTACCTAAGGGAAAGAAAAGAAAATTTGGAATTCCAAAATCCAAACACAAATCTCTCCACAAATGGCTAAGATCCAAACACATTACATTAAAATTCACCCTAGTGGTACACGAAATTCTAAATAATTTCCTTAATAAAATAAAAATTCAGTTAGTTTCTTCCTTGTACTTCCTACTAATCCATGTGCTAACATTTATAAAGAGGACTGATCAAATTTATATGCTCGTATGAAAATTGCAAAATTACTCAACAACAACAATAGGTACAAATCCATTTGACCGATGGAATAATGATGAGTAACCATATATCAATACGCTACCAATGGTAGTATAATCGGTGGAGAGAGTAAAGTATTAGCCTAATGAATGATGATTAGTGAGAGAGTATGATCCATAGTTCTAAAAACCGGCCGATACACTACGTATTGGCTAGCGTATCGGCCGATATGTATCAGAAAAATAGGGCACCGCGACAGATACAGGCCGGTATACCGCTGAGATTGAAAATCGCTAGAGAATCAGCTGAGTCCCGGTATGTATCGGTCTGTAACCGTTATACAAGCCGTTACACAAGCCACGACGGGCCGATACTCACCGGTTCAGACCGGTACGGGAAAGAAAAAGTTGAAAAACCTTTGAAATGATTTTTAAAATTTCACCACCGCGACACCCGATTCCCGATACGTACCGATCGATACTACCGATACCGATACTCCGCGATCGATACCGTTACGTTACCCGATACCGCGATTTAGAACCTTGCTCCATAACCAAAAAGTGGTTCATCTTCCATATATATGTCTTTCTCTCTCTCTCCCCCCTTTTCGGCTGAAGCGAAGTCACACCACAAAACTTCCAAAACTTGAGGGAACACTTCTTAGGAACCAAACATGTTCTTCTTCTTCTCTCTAACTCTCTTATCTCTTCTTCTCTATTTATTTTGTCTCTTACAAAAACCCTAACCGTAAAAGGAAAATCGAGTTCAACAGTCCCCAATCTCTCAATAACAAGAACACAAGATATGTTGCGATTCTGTATTATTCCAGCACTGTTTGATTGATTTTTAGTTTTTTAATATTAGATTAGTTTTAATTTCGTTCTGAAAATTGATTTTTAGTTTTTTACTCCAGTACTCAATATTTTCTTTATTGTTCTTTTTTGGATGTTTTGATCTACAATTTTCAAAACAAAATGATTTGTTGATATTTTATTTAGGGTTTTCAAAGTCATTTAACATTACTTGTGGATTTATGCGAGTGTAATTCCATTTTACATATTTTTTGGGTACTAGATAATGGGTCCGCCACTCAATGATGCTCCTCATGTTGATGCTAATCTTGCTACTCCTATTGTTGGAACTCAGCCACAACCATCAACGGAGCCCGAAATATAACAGAACAGAACCCACCTTATCCAACTGCAACCGATCCGATTAACCGAGTATGTTGTGCGGTCAATTCGACTGCTTTGTGGTTCAAAAATGGTTCCAATATACTCAAACCCGATCATATTCGGATGAATAACGGTTTATGGATGAAGCCGACCCGCACCTATATTGCAGAAAAAGCTCATACAAATACAAAAGACTAATAATATAAAATTATGGAGTATTTATGAGCCAATCCTACTTATTTGATTTATTTATCTATAAGTTTTATTCATTTTTTGACCTATCAATATCTTTAAAGAGTATTGGAATAAAATAGGTAGTTTATTGGAATAAAATAAATAATTTAAGATTTATTGATGCATTAAAAAAATATATAGAACTTATAAGTAATTAAGTCAATCGTATAGGGCTAACTCATAATTTACCTTAACCAAGCTTTAATGAGAGGCAAAAACTTGGGTTGGAACTGGAGGGTGTTCTCTTTTCAAAATTTTAAATTCGAAATCTCTTATATACCTATGGAGTCAATCTGTACAGCATTTTACTCCAATTTTAAATTGAGCTCCACCTAATAAACAATGAGATCGATCCTCGAATCAATTAATTCATTAAGGCCATGTTTGTTTGGGTGGACTGGATTAGCATTCTCATGACTAATAATCCTGAGATTACGAATCCGTTGGATTATGTATCCTATTTTAACTAAAAGTCAAGTTTAAAATAATTAGTCCGTACTTCAATTGTTTAACCAAATATCGGATTAATAATTTTATTGGACTATTAATCCAATCTCAAGCTCATGTCCACC